AATACAACACAGAAGAAGCGAGAGGATAGCAGGGGGTGGAAACGCCGTGAAAGGCCGCCAAGAACGAATTGGGGCTGTTCTGTATGCAACATTCCGTTCTGTAGAGAGGGCACGTGCTGGAGCGAGCACGTAGCCCGGCTCAACACCATTGCCTAGCTCTACAAGCAGATATGTACATAGAAATCACGAATTCAAACATTCTCATCTCTCCGTAGCTCTCATACTCAGGGGCCGATGCGGTGCATCTGATTGGCTACAAAAAGTGGCCCGAGCGTTGCGCCTTAATCGACGGGTTAAGGGATAGCGATCAACTTTATTGCCGAGCTGGATCTTCCCCCGGTATTCGAATAGAAGAACGTCAGTAACCTCACCCTTAGGCCGAACAATCACCTAATAACCGCATATAGCTTCACCGGAGTATTTAAGAGGTAGGAGAGAGTCCAGGGCAACTAGACGGATTTCAGGCAATATAGCTTAAGGGTGTGGGTAAGGAGTAGGGAGATACTTTGAGGCAGCAGGGATTGTGAAATGCCGGTGCTAGTATTTCTACTTTCTACTTTATTTACTTAATTACGGCATTGCATGCATATCTTCTTCATCCTCGACCCTTGGGAACTCTAGCCAAGGCCACTAACATTTTCTATTACTGGCCCCAACCGCCCTAGAGTTAATTATTGGCAGCCAGTTAGAATGCTCCTACGCACATCTGCCTACGCGTCTCAGCTGGACAAGATTCACTTCTCAGCTGGACAAGGTTCACCTGTTGTCTGCCACCGTTGCTGCCTGCAACCCCTGGTCTCTCTTCACTATATAGCCACTCGTTAGCACCTCAATACAACTCATGCTTTCCTCACTGATCCTTTGCCCTTCCTACGCCAGCTGCCAATTATCGGGCTCAGAAGAGCAAGATAATCACGCTTAACTACTCTCCGCGACCTCTTCTTTATTAGTGACGCGCTTATTAGGTATACATCTACGTGGTGGTGTCTGGGTGTTGCGAGTGGGAGTTTCTAGCTACTTCGCGCAGAATGCGGCACTGTTTTACGAATGGTGTAGGAGCTACAGCTAAACTGTTCGAAAGAGTACCGAGCCTAAGGAGTTGTAATTGTTGGGTTGGGGTTTATTTAAGGTAGACTGGACTGGATTTGAGGCTGTGGATTGTCCTGGAGCTCTAATAATAATATATGTATAGCGGAACCTGTATTAAAGGTGCAGAGGAGGGTATGGTGATATGGGAGAGACACGTGATCTTACCCTTACGTGGAGATAAAGAAATTACTTATAAGCAGAGGTATATTAGTAGAACCATACCCCTATCTAAATTATGTGAGCTTCTACTTAATACAGTATAATACCTGTAATCTGGTAGTTAATAGTACGCAAACGACATTCTATTTACTCTGCTTGGCTCGGGTAGCTACAAAGTAGGGCTGGGTTAACAAGTTCTATTGCTATTGCTCCTTCTTCATGACCATCGATTGCGTTGTATCGACGATGCTTTTATTGGTGTCAATTTCTATCAAGCACCTCTGAACGTGTTTTCTTGGCTGCAATTGTGACCTACTTTGCACATCGCCACAGCGCAATCGAGTAACTTCTTGTTCATGTGAAGGCGAATGAGAGCGTTCCGTCGCTTGCATGTTCGTTGAAACCACGTGAACACCTGCAACGACGGCCGGAAAGAAAGCCACTACTCGAACTCGCGTTAGCCTATTGGCCGTTCTATGCTGGCCAAAACACCTGAGGCACCAACTCATCGTGGAATGAACCGAAGCCATTCATCTCACCGGAAAGACGCCGCCTGATCATTTGGTCATGTGGTATCCAGGTCTAAGGAGATAGTGCAGGCTACTTATTCTCGCGATATGAGAACAAAGGCCTCCTCTGAGTGCTCCGAATTATTATCGGCAGCCGAATTTCCTCGAATTTTCTTTTGGAGATTTTTCGACCATGTGACTGCCCCTCATTTCACATCGCCACGTCATAACAGAAAAATCGGATTCGTGACAGCAAACCTTTCCCGCAAAGTTTTCCTCTGTTCAAAAGAGGTGCGTTTACATTGATAATTTATGAGTTAATTTTAACAGTCGCAGTTGCCTCTATGGCAGAATCGACACCAATGAGTTACGACACGATAACTCTGGATAAACCGCTAGACAACACAAAATTAGGGCAAAGTCTAAGTGAAAAACTTAGAGAGAATAGTCACGTTTGTTATAGGGGGCTACTAATCGCACACCCCCTCCCCCCCTGTCGCTTCACCACGTTCTGATTGGCCCGGAGGGGTGCTCTGAGGCCTCCGATTCGCTCGCCTAAGTCGCTCACTAATTCCAAATGCTCTCTCCAAATGCGGCCTTGATCGCAATCAATTACATCCTCTTCCTCTCCTTCTACAATACACTCACTATGGCCCTCCACCCGCCACGGCTGGCGTACTACGCTACAGCAGAGATAGCGCATATTGCTCTACAAGCGCACGCATCAGCGCAGGGCTACGGCCTAGCAAAATACCGTAGTAAACCAGACAGAGTGGACATACGAGCATACCTC